GGAAGTTTCTTTTAACATACATTACATTTGTGAACATGCAGATGAAGTTTGAGAGGAAGATGCATAATTTGAGTTTTGCAGCTGACTGTTTACACAAATATTGTCATCCTCAGATATTTTTACAAGATATGACCAGTGTTGCCTGCTATATGCTTGTGTTCTCTTTTGTTTTTTTCTTTTAGTTTTTCATGTCATTGTTCTAGAAAAAATTGTGGTGATTTGTATTTCTCAAAACTTCTCAAGATTGAATATTAATGTGACTCTGTAATAATGCCTGGAGTTTTATATAGCCAAATTCAGCTTGTTTGAATGAGTATTTGAAAAATATTGTATTCGACAGTATTCACGGCGTGAAACAGGGGATTATAATGTTTTTAAACGGAAAGTGAATCAATTAACATAATGGATTCCTAATATAACTCAACAAACTCAATTATAAGTTCATCACACACAAATTTTGTATTTCCACTTATAAAAAAGATTCTCAACCGAAAAATACCCCAAAAATATAGCAATCTTCAGAGAAATTATATAATACATCTAAATACATAAATTATATTAATAAAAAAAAATATATGAATACATTCAGGGCGTATAGCGGGACAGTGAATACAATAAAATACATAAAATACACTGGGATGCATTGAAATACAATGAAAAAAAAAGACAGTGAATACAATAAAATACATGGAATACAGCGAGATACATTGAATTACAATGAAAAAAAGATAATGAGTACAATGAAATACAGCGCGATACGTTGTAAATATATTGAAATATATTAACAGAAATCTTCTTCTTCATCACGATTAATTGAATACCAGGGCTTCTAATTTGATTGAAAAGTTACGGATGACGCCGTTAACACAGGGAAAGGTTTCAATGGATGGAAGCTGGATAATTTTCCCAGAAAGTGGGTGATAGAGGAAGAGATCACAATCTTTAGGCTATATGCAAGCAATCCATACCTTGGATAATGATCCCACACAAACGGAATCGACATCAGGGATCGTCATTCGGTGCTCATCAACCTGTACCCGTATGAGTATGACATCCCTTCGGCCAATCTGTAGAATTTCAAAAGGGTGCTTTCCTCCTCAAACTCCGGCGGTAGCATCAACCGCGGAGCCACACATCTGCTGCTCACCATATGACTACGGCAACTTCCATCAAACGATTCTCTAATTCCAGGAACACAACTTGGTCTTACCACCAAGGAAGAGCTAGGGTTTCTCGTTGGATTGAGATTGAGCATCGTATTTTCAGGGAACGGGGGAAGAGAATGACATGTATCAAAATATAGAGAGAAAGAAAATAGTGTAACTGAATAGCGTATTTAGTGGCTTAGGTTAGGAGGTAACCAAAATTAGATATTTTGCTATAAACATTAAAAGGTATTTATAGAATATAATTTTTAGGTATTTATTTAAAATAAATAAGGTGTTAACCTTTGCTATAGGAGGTAAATTCCTTGAATAAATAAACCAATATGATAAAATAATAAGAACAGTTCAAACTTCAAACCACAAAGTTCATGTAGCACGCCAAAACTCTAGAACTAATAAAATATGAAACTAAAAGAATAGAAGAGAAGAAAAACTAGTTAGAAGCCTACTCCCAGCGTGGTGTGTTCCTCCACGTTAAAAAATTAGGTTTAGGACTCCTTATATATAAATTAGGACCGTATAGGACCGAAATAACCTTGTTTTAATTAAAATAGAAAAATCATTGTAACACAGCGTCCAGGGTAACGCCTCGCGCCGGCCCCGGCGCTGAAAGCAATAAGTTTTCACGTTCCTTTGCTGCGTTCCCGTCATCAACTGCATTCTAAATGCAATTGTACTAAATATCCTTTTTCTTGTCTTCAAATTGGGGGACAAAACTCAAAGGGTGTCCCCCCATTTTTATTCATTTAATTGTTTTTCTTTTTCTTCCGCCTTTAATCCAATTTTGTTTCAAATCTCTTCATTTTCATACCATTTTATTTCTACACAACTAAAATATAATATTAAGCATAATGTAATATAGTAACACTCAAAGACGATTAAAAGTACTAAAACGTAAGGTAACAATAGATAAATATATGCATTTTTGGTCGAACATCAACAACTTTCACACACCCAAACTTATAAAAAAAATAAAAAAAAGTGAAACAATTACCTTCCTAAAATGACACGTGGCTGCGCGACACTTGTTTGGATTAAAAGGAAAGAAAGAAACTCCATCTCCGGCAATGCTTCCACCTGCTGATGGCTGCGCCACCGCCAAGTTTTCCAATTCCGATTACATTCTTTCTCTGTTAGCGCCTATTAACAAAGATCTGGTACAAATTCTGCCTTTAAATTCATTAGAGCAAAATATTAGCTCTTGCTAGTACTGCAATGCAAGTATGGCCAAATCTGTAAGTTTGTGCACATGTTGAATAAAAATTTCTCCTAGCAGTCGACGCAGGTTCTTTTCCTTCTTCTTTTTTTTTTACCTGAAAAAGACAGCTTGTAGCTAGATAATTTAAAAGATCATAAGGAGTTAAATAAAAACTGTTATTAAATTTGCTATCTCTTAATTATTGCTACAGTTAGCTAGTAGTTCTAAAGATTTAGCACGCCAGTTAACTTTAGCTAAATTATACTTGGATAAAATTTTATGTTAAAATCTTGACTTCTCATTGAAGTGTTGCCTCTTGATTAATGCTTATATTTGTTTAGACTTATCTTGCTGGTTGAATCGGCAAAATCAGAATTAAAAATACATATGCAGAATCATTGTTGAAGGTTATCCCTTAATTAATGCTGCAAGTTGGTACTAAAGAATTGTTATATATAGCCGTTGACAGTTAAGGTGCCTTTTGACTGGCTAATTGCTTTCCGTCACAGTCGATTGAGGATTTGAAGTTTTATCGGTTGGTACAACAATCTCAAGTTAATATACGACAATAACCCTCTTAACAGTCAAATATCTGCATATATTTAGTGTTTCTTAATAATATATACACGGACTGTGCAAAAGCTACTGCATTCTCGTGAATCCATAAGTTGTGCTCTATATCTGTTCTAGGTAACACCATATTAGGAAAACGATATTCAAATAAAAATATTTATAACACAAATGACAACTTTTATGTTAGTGTTTGCCATATCTGTCATTTTTAAGTGTCAACCTAGTCCAATAATTCATTCCTTTACTGCAGAATTACAGAGAGAGATGGCTGCATATGTTGCATTGACTTCTCTAATGGGAACAATAGACCAACTTCAGCTTTTGCAATCAAACTTAGATCTATTGGACACTCATGTGAAAAGTTTGAATTTACTCCACGAGAAGGTTGATTCTCTGCATGAACTTCTTGACCATTATGCTGATGAACAAACGAAGGAATTTGAATTAGCACGCAAAAGCAGACAAATAGCAAATGAAGCAGAAGATGAAGTTGAATCGCAGATGAAGGTGGTAATGGACGAACAACATGACAGACTCCATCAAAAGGAAGCCCTCGAGAGTCTTTTTGAGATCTTACAACGAGGTATTGAAAATGTTGATTCCCTCAAGGATGAGCTCATCAAGCACACTCAGAATAACACTTCGCAAGCTGGAAATTCCTCACTTAGTGATTCAAGTTCACCACGATTGCATGCTTCGACCCTTGAGAACGATATGGTGGGGTACAACATTGAACAAGAAAAGTTGCTGAGTCAACTCACGAGTGGCTCGCCTGAACTGGAAGTCATCTCTGTTACTGGTATGGGCGGCATTGGTAAGTCTACTTTTGCCAAAAACTTGTTTTCTCATCCCTCGATTTTGAGCTTCTTTGACATCCGTGGATGGATTACCGTATCTGAGAACTACAGTTATAGAAATATGCTTTTAGGCCTCCTAATAGATGCTAATCTTGGGAAGGAACAAGACCTTGATAAGAAAAGCGATTCAGATTTAGCCGTTTGCTTGAAACAAAGTTTAATGGGTCGAAGGTATTTGATTGTTGTGGATGACATATGGAGCAAAAACGCTTGGGATGAGATTAGACTGTGTCTTCCAGATGATGGTAAAAGAAGTCGGGTACTGTTGACTACCCGAGACATTGAGGTTGCTCAATATGCTAGCTCTCCGAAGGCTCCTTTCAGGATGCATTTACTAGGCCCTGATGACAGTTGGAGTTTGTTTTACCAAAAAGCATTTGCAGAAAAAGGTTTTCCCATTGAATTTGTGGATGTCGGGAAGGACGTCGCAAAAAACTGCAAAGGATTACCACTTATGATTGCCGTGGTTGCCAAGATTCTGTCTAGCAAGAGGACATTGGAAGAGTGGAGAAAAGTAGCTAAAAGTGTGAGCTCATTAGCAGACGTTGATGCTTATAAACAATGCTCAGGAGTGCTCGCTTTAAGCTACAGTCATCTTCCTTCTTATCTGAAAGGTTGCTTTCTGTATTTTGGACTTTTTCCAAAAGCTAGTGAAATTTCTATGGAAAAGTTGATTAGATTATGGATTGCAGAAGGGCTCCTAAAGGTAAAAGGGATGGAGGGGTTGGAAGGAGTGGCCGCTAGTCATTTAAATTATCTTATTGATAAAAGTCTAGTTATTGTTAGCAAGAGAAGTATGGATGGTAAAATCATTACATGTTTGATTCATGATCTTGTTCATGATTTCTGCTTGAAAGAAGCTGACAGCCAGAATCTTCAATATATTGTGAATACCGATATTGATGGACCTCTATGGGTTATTCCTGAAGGCTGCAGATCGGTGTCACAACAATCATGGAGCTTTTATTCTGGCCGTCGATTCCCTGATCTTGCTTATAGCAAATTACGTTCCTTTTCTGTCAATTCTAAGACATTAATTGTTGATGTAGAAAGGTGTCATTTCAAACTTCTTAGGGTATTGGACTTGGAGAAAATAAATATCTTCAATTTCCCCATAGCTATACAAGACCTAGTTCTTTTAAGGTATTTGGCATTGTGCATTTCAAGATGTGGAAAATTTCCAATTTCTAAACTTCTAAATTTACAAACTCTCATTGTTCTTTCGCCCCGAATATTCCGAAAAAAAGCTTATTGTTCCTTACCAGATGGAATTTGGAAATTGTCTCAGTTAAGGCATCTCGATTGTTGGTCTATGTATTTGGACTCTCCTGAGACGGTATCAGAAAATGAGGTGAAGAACTTGGTTTTGGAAAACATACAAACTGTTTCTGAGTTGATACCTTCTTGTTGCACAAGAAAAATATTTGAAGCAATTAAGAAAGTTAAGAAATTGGAAATTGCTGGTACAACAGAGGAATTTCATGGCGAGACGGGATGGGAAACTAATCTTAAATATTTAATAGAGCTCGAGGCACTAAATGTTACAGTTCCGACTGATTTTGTTTCCGACCGGCTGCCGTGTTTAATAAATCCAAGTCCAGGTTCTTTCCCTCAAAATCTCAAGAAGTTGACACTTAGTGGTACTTGTATTCCATGGAATTGCATGAACATATTTAGCAAGTTGCCCAATCTCGAGGTGCTTGAATTGAAGGATGATGCCTTCTCAGGCGATGAGTGGGAAATAACAGAGATGGGATTCCCTAAATTGAAGTGTTTACTCATTGAGGATCTGTATCTTAGATATTGGAGAGCCACCGATGATTATTTCCAATCCCTTGAGCGTGTCTGCATCAGAGAATGCAAACTCTTACAAGAGATCCCAGAAGGATTTGCAGATAGTGTGACGCTGCAGCTAATTGAATTACATAAATGTTGTCGTCCTCTTGTCACTTTTGCCAAGCAGATCCAGGAAAACCATGAGGAAATGGGAAACAATATGCTTAAAGTTTATGTCATTGGTTCAAGTAAGTAAATCATCAACGATGAACTTTCAATATTAATCAAATATTTTGACTTCTGATCATGAACTGTGTTGAATCATTAGGTAAGAATTAACCTGTTGATTGAAATAGAATTTCTTCTGCATAGCTACTAATAGGAGTATATTGTTGACTGTAATAAAAAGTTTTTTATATTCGTTGCATGTGCTTGCTGTAGGGCCTTTTAATTGCATAAAGTACTCAAATATTTATATTTAAGAAAATGGTTCTATGAAACTCTTCTAAGGATGGTCTCTGTCAATGCAGTAATTTAGCCATTTTATGTTGTGTTTATCTTATTTCATTAGCGAGCTCATACTATCCATATACAGCTTGCTTATGTTCATAATTTGAATTTGGCTATTCCTGCTCTGTCAATCCTGTCAAAAATTCATTTTTATGAGGGCTTCGTAGTGTTTGTCATTGCTGTTTGTTGTTGCTGTAGTTTTCTATAGTACCCTTTTGTGCGTATTGCATTATTTTGGGCGTGTGTGTGGGGGGAGTCATGGTTATTTGTTCTTGCTATTATTTGCTTATTCCTTCCTGATATATGTAAGAGGAAAACTAAATCAGTAATGTTCATGGAATAGACAAAGATGTAAAGGTGAAGTACAAATAATATTAGGTCTCTCAAAGTGAATTTGATTCCTCGGTTAATTTGTTCGATTCTTTAGACTCTGTATTTTAATGTACATTGTGTATCTTTCTGTCTACAATGAAAGAAAGAGCCCTGAATGCAAATTGTAGGTATATTTGGTGATAGAAATATGTTTGGAACAACAAACCTGTTGCAAGGTGTCTTGCTTAGAGAACCATGTCTTTATCCATTGTCTACTTCTTGAATACCAGGGCTTCCCCACAACATCAACAAAATTATAACTTTGATCTCTTGAAAAGGCGGCACATGAATTGTTGCGGAAAAAAAAAAAGACAATAATCAATAATTCCGCACACATCAATGATAAGTAGGAGATGTTATTGTGGTTTGGTTGAAATTAAATATGTTGAATCATATAAGCTGTGTGGATATGTGTTGCTTATAAAGAAAAGGGCTATGAACTCTAACAATTTCACTTTACATTTACTCTATAGTCAGCTGGAAGTTTCTTTTAACATACATTACATTTGTGAACATGCAGATGAAGTTTGAGAGGAAGATGCATAATTTGAGTTTTGCAGCTGACTGATTTACACAAATATTGTCATCCTCAGATATTTTTACAAGATATGACCAGTGTTGCCTGCTATATGCTTGTGTTCTCTTTCTTGTTTTTTCTTTTAGTTTTTCATGTCATTGTTCTAGAAAAAATTGTGGTGATTTGTATTTCTCAAAACTTCTCAAGATTGAATATTAATGTGACTCTGTAATAATGCCTGGAGTTTTATATAGCCAAATTCAGCTTGTTTGAATGAGTATTTGAAAAATATTGTATTCGACAGTATTCACGGCGTGAAACAGGGGATTATAATGTTTTTAAACGGAAAGTGAATCAATTAACATAATGGATTCCTAATATAACTCAACAAACTCAATTATAAGTTCATAACACACAAATTTTGTATTTCCACTTATAAAAAAGATTCTCAACCGAAAAATACCCCAAAAATATAGCAATCTTCAGAGAAATTATATAATACATCTAAATACATAAATTATATTAATAAAAAAAAATATATGAATACATTCAGGGCGTATAGCGGGACAGTGAATACAATAAAATACATAAAATACACTGGGATGCATTGAAATACAATGAAAAAAAAAGACAGTGAATACAATAAAATACATGGAATACAGCGAGATACATTGAATTACAATGAAAAAAAGATAATGAGTACAATGAAATACAGCGCGATACGTTGTAAATATATTGAAATATATTAACAGAAATCTTCTTCTTCATCACGATTAATTGAATACCAGGGCTTCTAATTTGATTGAAAAGTTACGGATGACGCCGTTAACACAGGGAAAGGTTTCAATGGATGGAAGCTGGATAATTTTCCCAGAAAGTGGGTGATAGAGGAAGAGATCACAATCTTTAGGCTATATGCAAGCAATCCATACCTTGGATAATGATCCCACACAAACGGAATCGACATCAGGGATCGTCATTCGGTGCTCATCAACCTGTACCCGTATGAGTATGACATCCCCTTCGGCCAATCTGTAGAATTTCAAAAGGGTGCTTTCCTCCTCAAACTCCGGCGGTAGCATCAACCGCGGAGCCACACATCTGCTGCTCACCATATGACTACGGCAACTTCCATCAAACGATTCTCTAATTCCAGGAACACAACTTGGTCTTACCACCAAGGAAGAGCTAGGGTTTCTCGTTGGATTGAGATTGAGCATCGTATTTTCAGGGAACGGGGGAAGAGAATGACATGTATCAAAATATAGAGAGAAAGAAAATAGTGTAACTGAATAGCGTATTTAGTGGCTTAGGTTAGGAGGTAACCAAAATTAGATATTTTGCTATAAACATTAAAAGGTATTTATAGAATATAATTTTTAGGTATTTATTTAAAATAAATAAGGTGTTAACCTTTGCTATAGGAGGTAAAAATTCCTTGAATAAATAAACCAATATGATAAAATAATAAGAACAGTTCAAACTTCAAACCACAAAGTTCATGTAGCACGCCAAAACTCTAGAACTAATAAAATATGAAACTAAAAGAATAGAAGAGAAGAAAAACTAGTTAGAAGCCTACTCCCAGCGTGGTGTGTTCCTCCACGTTAAAAAATTAGGTTTAGGACTCCTTATATATAAATTAGGACCGTATAGGACCGAAATAACCTTGTTTTAATTAAAATAGAAAAATCATTGTAACACAGCGTCCAGGGTAACGCCTCGCGCCGGCCCCGGCGCTGAAAGCAATAAGTTTTCACGTTCCTTTGCTGCGTTCCCGTCATCAACTGCATTCTAAATGCAATTGTACTAAATATCCTTTTTCTTGTCTTCAAATTGGGGGACAAAACTCAAAGGGTGTCCCCCCATTTTTATTCATTTAATTGTTTTTCTTTTTCTTCCGCCTTTAATCCAATTTTGTTTCAAATCTCTTCATTTTCATACCATTTTATTTCTACACAACTAAAATATAATATTAAGCATAATGTAATATAGTTAACACTCAAAAGACGATTAAAAGTACTAAAACGTAAGGTAACAATAGATAAATATATGCATTTTTGGTCGAACATCAACAACCTTTTACACACCCAAACTTATAAAAAAAATAAAAAAAAGTGAAACAATTACCTTCCTAAAATGACACGTGGCTGCGCGACACTTGTTTGGATTAAAAGGAAAGAAAGAAACTCCATCTCCGGCAATGCTTCCACCTGCTGATGGCTGCGCCACCGCCAAGTTTTCCAATTCCGATTACATTCTTTCTCTGTTAGCGCCTATTAACAAAGATCTGGTACAAATTCTGCCTTTAAATTCATTAGAGCAAAATATTAGCTCTTGCTAGTACTGCAATGCAAGTATGGCCAAATCTGTAAGTTTGTGCACATGTTGAATAAAAATTTCTCCTAGCAGTCGACGCAGGTTCATTTTTCCTTCTTCTTTTTTTTTACCTGAAAAAGACAGCTTGTAGCTAGATAATTTAAAAGATCATAAGGAGTTAAATAAAAACTGTTATTAAATTTGCTATCTCTTAATTATTGCTACAGTTAGCTAGTAGTTCTAAAGATTTAGCACGCCAGTTAACTTTAGCTAAATTATACTTGGATAAAATTTTATGTTAAAATCTTGACTTCTCATTGAAGTGTTGCCTCTTGATTAATGCTTATATTTGTTTAGACTTATCTTGCTGGTTGAATCGGCAAAATCAGAATTAAAAATACATATGCAGAATCATTGTTGAAGGTTATCCCTTAATTAATGCTGCAAGTTGGTACTAAAGAATTGTTATATATAGCCGTTGACAGTTAAGGTGCCTTTTGACTGGCTAATTGCTTTCCGTCACAGTCGATTGAGGATTTGAAGTTTTATCGGTTGGTACAACAATCTCAAGTTAATATACGACAATAACCCTCTTAACAGTCAAATATCTGCATATATTTAGTGTTTCTTAATAATATATACACGGACTGTGCAAAAGCTACTGCATTCTCGTGAATCCATAAGTTGTGCTCTATATCTGTTCTAGGTAACACCATATTAGGAAAACGATATTCAAATAAAAATATTTATGACTCATCCATGTTAGAGGCATTAATTAAGTAGAGGTCAGACATAGTTGATGAATAATATTTTAAATCTAAATGTTGTTCCTTAATTGTGGTTAACCTCAACTTATAAGCCACCTAACATGGGTCATGGAATATTTTTAATGTTAAAATGCTCAAATAATTTCAATAAATAATAATAAAAATAATAATATAAAATAGAGAGGAAATAATGTAAGTACAACTACTATTATAATTATGATATTTGTTGCTGTTATTGTCTCACCTCAACTAGGAAAATGCCGTCATTCACATTATTCTTCACAGGAAACTTTCCTCCCACAAAAAGAAAAAATCATTACACTCTCTTATAAAGAATCTTTCACAACATTAGTGAGGCAAACAAATTTACCAAAATTCAAGAGAGAGATATCGACCAATATACAGTTCAATCCAAAATTCCTTCACAGTCCATAAGCTAGAGATCTCTGCTTTTATTAAGGTGCTTCTCTTTGTAGGCATATAAATTTTATTAAACTTAAATCCATAAAATAATTTGGACTATATTTTAAATTCAAGATATATTGGCCCAAATAAATATTATGGGCTAATATAATTAAATTAATTATATAAGTTCAATACATACGGATTAAATAAATAAGAGACAAAACACAAATAGACAATATCTAAGAAAATTTTATGAAATCCTAGCAGCATTCCGTGATTAACCAATATAGCAGCTAATTAATTACATCCCTTAATGAAACCCATAATCTTGACCGTGAATCACGTTAAAAAAAAAATTCCAAGCGTTTCAGTTCCTAAAAATCCTTCCAGAGAATTAGGACATCAAATCCTCAATAACTCCTATAATCAAGGCACCCTGGACTTCACACTTCCTCAATTTCATGCCATCACCTAAATTACATTCAATGCTAATACATCATCCCCTCCTCCCCCACCCCCAATAATAAATTTTAGACAAAGCAATTAGACTAAATCACGTGTCCCTTGAGTCAGCCAGCTAATTTGGGGACTTAGACAACTAATTGAAAATAGACAAACTTCTGGACTAAAAATGTAAAGACTAAAAGAAACAATTAAAGTTACGAAATGTATAATTTCGTAACACCTTATAACATATTCATTAAAAAATTGACAAGGGGTTTTTAATATATAGGGGAATATAGTTAATGGGGGATTTTGGGGAGACCGAATAGTTTAAGTATGTAACTGACAAAAACATGATAGTTTAGGAGGGTTTTAAGATATTCACTCATTAAAAAAGGAATTTAGCAGATAAGAGAGCTTATATTTATGCTGTAATTTATTTTTGCATTGACTATTCTTCTTTGTTAATATCTACTCCCTATGGTCCACAATAAGTGACCAATTTACTTTTTTATTTTGGTCCAAAATAAGTGTCCATTTACATAATCAAGAAAGAATTCAATTTGTTTTTACAAAATTACCCTTATGTACATATCCCTAAAAAAAATTCTTATTCCTCACATTAAATATTTAATTAAGGATAGTTTAGTCATACTAGGTATTTTTGACTTTAGCTAAACTAGAGTTGGAAAAAGTTTTATGTTAACATCTGACTTCTCATTCAAGTGTTGCCCCTTGATTAATGCTTATATTTGTTTAGACTTATCTTGCTGGTTGAACTGGCAAAATCAGAATTAAAAATACATGTGCAGAATCATTGTTTAGTGTTATCCCTTAATTAATGCTGCAAGTTGGTATTAAAAAGTTGTCATATATAGTTGTTGAGAGTTAAGTTGACTTTTGACTGGCTAATTGCTTTCCGTCAAAGACGATCCAAGATTTAAAGTTTTATGGATTGGTTACAACAATCTCAAGTTAATATACAAAAAGTAATTGGGTTAAAAGTCAAATATCAATTGTTAAAACAATGACAACTTTTATGTTTGTTTGCCATATCTGTCATTTTTAAGTGTCAACCTAGTCCAATAATTCATTCCTTTACTGCAGAATTACAGAGAGAGATGGCTGCATACGTTGCATTGGCTTCTCTAATGGGAACAATAGAACAGCTTCAGCTTTTGCTATCAAAGTTAGATCTATTGGACACTCATGTGGAAAGTTTGAATTTACTCTACGAGAAGGTTGATTCTCTGCAAGAGCTTCTTGATAATTCTGATGGTGAACAAACGGAGAATTTGCACGAAAAGGCCAGAGACATAGCAAATGAAGCAGAAGATGAAGTTGAATCACAGATGAAGGTGGTAATGGAGGAACAACATGATGGACTCCATCAAAAGGAAGCCCTCGAGAGTCTTTTTGAGATCTTACAACGAGGTATTGAAAATGTTGATTCCCTCAAGGAAGAGCTCATCAAGCACAGTCCGAACAACAACTTGCAAGCTGGAAATTCCTCGATTGGCGATTCAAGTTCACCACGATTGCATGCTCCAACCCTTGAGAACGATATGGTGGGGTACAACATTGAACAAGCAAACATGCTGAATCGTGAACTGGAAGTCATCTTTGTTGATGGTAAAAAGGAGTCGGGTTTTGTTGACTAGTGGAGACATTGAGGTCGCTCAATATGCTAGCTCTCCCAAGGATCCTTTCAGGATGCATTTACTTGATGACCAAGAGGACACTTGGAATTTGTTTTACCAAAAAGGATTTGCAGAAGAAGGTTTTCCAGTTGAATTTGGAAACAGAGAACAAAAAAAACAGTACAAGCAAAGCAAAGAAAATATAATTTATCCTCTGTACGTGTTGATTGGCATTTATCCAGGGGTTACCCAGCCTATTTTTTCACCCACCAATCAAATTACTCATCCATGCAAGAAAAGCAGTATATTAAACGACAAAGTTTGTTACCTCATCGTACCATTTTAATTGAAAAATAGAAGATATAATCCCCTCTTTGCTTGTCCTATTCTATACTCTATGCTACTGTCAAATAGCGTATAAAAAATTAACGCAAATTACCACCCACAATTACCAATTGGAAAGAATCATATGCTCTTCAAAGTATTTTTCAAAATCAATTTATTCTCTATAATATTTTTCAAAGTACTTTTAAACCGTAATTAACAATTGTCAAATTTTTAAAAAGTACTTCTAAATATATATATATATATTTTTTAAAATTTTAGGGAGAAGTTATTTTTTAACCCTCTCAAAAACGACTTCTGATTCTACTTAAAAATTTGGCCAAATACTACTCATTGAAGTGTTGCCCCTTGATTAATGCTTATATTTGTTTAGACCTATCTTGCTGGTTGAACTAGCAAAACCAGAATTTAAAAAACATATGCAGAAATCATTGTTTAAGTGTTATCCCTTAATTAATGTTGCAAGTTGGTACTAAAAAACTGTTATATATAGCTGTTGAGAGTTAAGTTGACTTTTGACGGGCTAATTGCTTCTCTATTCAAGATTTGAAGTTTTATGGGTTGGTACAACAATTTCAAGTTAATATACAATAATAACTCTATTAACAGTCAAATATCTGCATATATTTAGTGTTTCTTAATATATACTCCCTCCGTTCCAGTTTATGTGAACCTATTTCGTTTTTTGTCCATTCCAAAAAGAACGACCCCTTTCTAAATTTGGATACAATTTAGCTTAGACTTACAATTGTACCCTTAATGAGAAGCTTTTATAACCACACAAATACTCTGGGCCCCTTTTTAACTTGTTTAGGACCACAAATTCTAAAAGTTTTCATTTTTTCTTAAACTCCATGCCCAGCCAAACATGTTCACATAAATTGAAACGGAGTAAGTATATATATACACACAAATACTCTGGGCCCCTTTTTAACTTGTTTAGGACCACAAATTCTAAAAGTTTTCATTTTTTCTTAAACTCCATGCCGAGCCAAACGATGTTCAACGATAAAGTTGAAACGGAGTAAGTATATATATACACACAAATACTCTGGGCCCCTTTTTAACTTGTTTAGGACCACAAATTCTAAAAGTTTTCATTTTTTCTTAAACT